CAGCATTTTCCAGAGTATAAGGTAATATGATTTTGAGGGAAGGCCTCAGTTGTCTGGACAGAAATACTTAGCAAGAGATAAGACAATCCTCTCAGATACCTATTGAAACTGTTAAGAACATCTATTCCAGCTATTTTAACTCTGTGTTCACGAGGACACAGAGAGTGAGGCATCTTTTGCTCCACTGACTGTTCATACCCAACAATAGGAAGTGCTTTGTGCAAACTCCTTATGTTAGAAACCTTGTTAGGTGAACCTTCAGTCTGGGGTAGATCATACAAGGCCTTTAGGGGGTTGGGAAGCTATTTATGGGTTTTAAACAGGAAGTGAGAGACAGTATGGTACCATTTATAGTTTCAAAAATATGCAGTCAGAAAAAAATTATCTACTTGAACTATTTGAAATTAAAAAAGGAGAAGCACTTGCTTTCCATACATAAAAACTTTGGAGACACTCTAAGATAGTGTATTAGTCAGGGTTTTCCAAAGAAACAGACCAATAGGGAGAATGCGTATATATAATATATTACACATAATATACATTATATATTTCTAGAAAATTCAACCCTTGTTCTTAAGGCTTTTGGCTGATTGAAGCTCTCCCACATTACAGAGGATACTCTACTTTACTCAAAGTCTACTGATTAAATGTTAATTATATAAAAAATAGCTTCACAGCAACATCTAGACAGGTGTTTAGCCAAACAACTGGGCAGCATAATCTAGCCAAGTTAAAACATAAAATTAACCGCTGCAGATAGTAAAGGATTAATGATGCTACTCTTAGTTTAGAAGTAACTTCATTAGCCGGAGAAAGTCAATTGACCATTTTTGATTTAGTCTTGCAATCAGTAAGAGAGAAGGCCACTTTTCATATCTGCTTCATACTTAGAAGGGGAAGCATTTTATAGCCCCCTGGAAATCCAAAATGGTAAATACCATTATTTGAACAATTTTTTTTTGTCTTATCATCACACCTTTTATTGACAACTTTGTGATAAGGGTTAATGCCTTTTAGCATCATTACTGACATTATAGAAACCTACTTATTGATTTTTTTGTTAATTAACTGCAATTTTTGACCTTGAAAAAATTAATTCCTTCATTTCTAATTAACAATCTTTTCTTCATAGAAGGCAATATTTACAAAACCCCAACGCCCATCTTTAAAGTAGGTGAAAAGAAAAGATAATGGGATGGGTTTAGGAGGGTCGTTAACAATTTTGTTTGATGATTGAAAAGGGAGTTTCCCCTCTTACTTTTAGTTTTAAAAGTCTTTCTCTGCACACTTTGGAGACATGATGACAAATACACTAAAAACATATATACAATCTGAAGCTCTTTACATATCATCTAAGGTTGATAAGGAAAAAATTTAGTTTCTTAGAAAAATGGACCCATCAATTATATGAAATTTAAAGATCACTTTGTGATTATTTGAAATAAAAATAATCATAACAATTTCCAATAATCTTTCATACATTTTCATTTAAATGCTGACTCTAAAACTTATATAGATGAGGTTTTGAAAAAACAAATGTTACCAAGGGCAAGTCATTTATATCGTTTGCTAGTGTCTTTGCTAATAAACATAAATTTGATTCCTACATGAGCCATTTGGTTTTAAGACCAAGAGTTTGGCCTATATCTCTAATGCTGTGAAATATATCTTTACTCACTAAGAAGACTTAGCAAGAGATATGAGTAAGTCAATATACACATGTGCTCCTGTAAGAAAACAATGAGTTGCAGGCTTTTGGGGTCTGATGGTGAAATAAATTATGTCATTGCCCTGTCATTGATGGATATAAAGGACTGGCATCTGTCCGTCTGCATCTCATTTGTTTTTTTAAATGAGATTTTGACTTTTTAAAAATAATTTAAAAAATTTTAATTATAGTTGACATACAATATTAGTTTCAGGTGTACAACATAATGATTAGATATTTATATAACTTACAAAGTGATCACCCCAATAAATCTAGTAACTCTCTGACACCATACATAGTTATTCCAATATTATTTGATGATATTTCTTAAATTGTAATTTACATCCCCATGACTATTTTGTAACTACTAATTTCTACCTCTTAATCCCTTCCCTTTTTTACCCATCCCCCAACCCCTCTTCTACCTGGCAACCATCAAAATTTTCTCTGTATCTATGAGTTTGTTTCTGTTTTGTTTGTTTGCTTATTTTGCTCTTTAGATTCTACATATAAGTGAAATTGTATGGCATTTTGCTTTTTAGATTCTACTTATAAGTGAAATTGTATGGCATTCTCTGTCTGACTTACTCCACTCAATACAATACCCTCTAGGTTCATTTGTGTTGTTGCAGATGGCAAGATTTCATTCTCTTTTATGCCTGAGTAATATATATCACCTCTTCTTTGTCCATTCATCCACTGATGGACACCCAGGTTACCTCTATATCTTGGCAATTGTAAATAATATTGTGATGAACATATGGATTTACAAGTCCCTTCAACGTAGTGTTTGGATTTGTTTGAATAAATACCCAGAAGGGGGATTACTGGGTCATTTTTATCTTTTGTTATAGCTTTTGTTTTAAAGTCTATTTTGTCTAATGTAAGTATTGCTACCCCATCTTTTTTTTCATTTTCATTATCATGAAATATCTCTTTTCATCTTTTACTTTAGTCTGCGTGTGTCTTTCCTTCTGAAATGAGTTTCTTGCAAGCAGCATAAGTAAAGACCTTGTTTTCTTTACATATCTATTCAGCCACCTTATGTCTTTTAATTGGAGCATTTACAGTTAAAGTAATTGTTGATAGATATGTAGTTATTGTCATTTTATCATTCACATTTCCCTTCTTTCTCTTCAAGAATTGCCTTTAATATTTCTTGTCACACTGGTTTGGTGATGATAAACTCCTTTAGCTTTTTCTTGTCTGGGAAGCTCTATATTTATTCTTTGATTCTAAATAATAGTTTTGCTGGGTAGAGTAATCTAGGTTGCAGATCCTTGCTTTTCATCACTTTGAATATTTCATACCAATTTCTCTGGCCTGCAAAGTTTCTGTTGAGAAACCAGCTAACAGTCTTATGGGAGTTCCCTTGTAGGTAGCTTATTGCTTTTCTCTTGCTGCTTTTAAAATTCTGTCTGTCTTTAAGCTTTGGCATTTCATTATGATGTGTCTTGGAGTGAGCTTCTTTGGGTTCATCTTGTTTTGGACTCTCTGTGCTTTCTGAGTTTGTATGTCTATTTCCTTTACCAGGTTAGGGACGTTTTTGAGATTTTGTCTTTCTTTTAAAACTAACTAGCCAGGGATAAATTTATTGTTGTATGTATCAAAGCATACAATAAAGCTTGTTACTGTTGTTTACCTGACTTTTAAGACCTTTTTCTCCCTTACCTACATCACTCACAAATGCTAGGAACTGAAAACTGAAATTTTAACTAATTTAATAGTTATCTAATCCCGAATTTTACTCATCTATATGCAGGATTCATGTAAATGAATATTCTTCCTTTGTTTATGGGACCTAATCAATAATGGTTCCATTGTGGCACTCTTGTGTGGTGAAATGGAAAATTTCTGTGAGTCTAAGATATGCTGAGAACCTCCTATGGACAGCTACTGAGGACAAATATTTAAAGCAGTTCCTTGCCCTTGAGGAGTTCATGCGGGACTCAGGTGAAGGAATACTTGTTTCACATTTTGATCAATAGTATATAGGAAGTTTGCACAGAATTATGTGTTCTCCTGAACCTTTTCTTACATCACCCATGTATAATTTGCCATGGACCCTGTTGTTTTTGCCTGCTCAGCTTTCCTTACTCCTTCTCTAATAGGACCTTAATTTTCCCTGGTGAATCATGTTTTCTCAATTACAATAGGTCTTTTGAGGCATACCAGACTGTCATTCAAGGTGACTGGGCTCTTTTAACCAAAGGGCAAGTATGTGACCCAAGATAGGCTAACTAACACTCTCTTCCAGGATCTTGAATCTTAGTGGGTGTCTTAAGGAAAGATAATGGTTGGAGGCTTTATTCCCATGACCATATCCTGAAGAGATTATCTAACCTTTCTTGTTGACTGATGCTTCCTTCCTCACCCAACAAAAAGCTTGGTTATTCAAGTTTCCTTTGATTTTGTGAGCTACTTCATTCCATGTCTTTCCAGTAAATTTCTTTAAAAGTGTGGCTTATGTTATTTAAAACCAAAGAATCATTGTGTTATTCAATATGAACATCTCTCTCTGGCCCTCCATATTCTACCCATATCTTCATTTTTTTTCTCACATTAATTTCATCATCTCTTCTGTCACTTTCTATATTTTGTCTATAGGGTATCGTGTTTACCATCTGAGAAACATTCTTGACCTAAATGAGGTAGACTTGAATTTTTCCTTATGACATGAATCACAGTGGGTAGGAAGTTGAAAAACTATCATTTAATGAAAATCTACTGTATATATGTATTACCTCATTTAGTTATTACAGCAAGTCTATGTAATAGGTATTGTTATCTCCATTTTATAGTTAAGAAAACAGAATATCAGACAGGTTAAGGAACTGGTCCAAGTTTATATAGCAGGAATATATCAGAGCCCTAATTTGAACCCTTATCTATGTGACCTTGAAATTCAGTCTTTCCTTGAGGCTTCTCTGTTACCCTCCCACAAGACATCACAAGGTTGATATCTTGAATGTATTATTTATTTTTGTGAATCTTGGTTTTCTTATCTATAAAATAGGAATATAAATAGGTACTATGTCACACAGTTGTGAATACTAAATAGGATAATGTACAGAAAGCCCCTAGCTTTTATAGTTGGCCAAAAAGTGCAAGTGCTTTCTAGTTCAATTTCCAAACTTGGTATGTAACTCTGGATCTCAGAGATTATGGTGAATTCCAAATCTTAGCTGAATCAGTCATTTCCAATTGTACCTTAATAAACTTCTAGCCAAACCATCTAGTAGTAGCTAAAAAACTTTGAATTATGTTTTTTCCTTTTTCCTCTACCCTCAAGCTTTTCTAATTCCTGGAAGAAATGTTGACAAACAATGAAACACATATATTAGGACATCAATGGTAAGGACTATCATGATTTCAAACTCTGAGTAACTGAGATATGATCTCCTGCACATTTGCCTCTAATATTACATATTTGCCTATTTGTGTTTTGCATGTAATTTTAAAAAATGTAACTCATTATTTGATGATGCTTCAGAATACTCCTAAACTTTTATTTCTTGAGTTTTGTAACTTTAGAGGAAATTTTCAGTTTAGCAGTTGAAAATAATAGCTACTTGCCTCATAGTATTGCTGTGAGGATTACATAAACTAATACATGAAAATTGTGCCTTGCATAGAGTAAGCATGAAATAACCTTTAGCTACGATTATTATGATACATTTATAGTTTCCGTATTTTATACATAATTGATGCCTAGTAAATGTTTATTAAATTGAATTGAAGAAAGGTCACAAGAAGAACACATTTCATGGAATAGGTAAGTAGTTAAAAAATGTTTTAATTTATATAATGTTTGAATGCAAACTGGAGGAAAAGATATGAAATTTACATTAAAATTTTTTTTTAATATGGTCAGTTTTTTTCTGGTTCGAGATTTGGTTATGACAAAGTTAGAAATTGACTCAAATGAAATTTTGCTTTTTATTTTTTTATTTTTATTTTAAAAATTTATTTATCTCCTCTCATAGTTAGATTTCTTTCTGTCACCACATATTTGACCCCTTTTACCTTGTCTATCTCCCCCTCTCCCCCTACCCTCTGGTAACCACTAGTCTATAGTCCATGTCCATGAGTCTCTGTTTGTCCCGTTCGTTTGTTGCTTTTAGGTTTATATCCCACATATGTGCT